GCTGTGCGTTAATGCAGTTCGATGCAGATGGCGCGGAGCGCGTCATCTGTTATCAATCGCGTCAGCTGCAAGCAGCTGAGCGTAATTACCCAGTGCATGACAAGGAACTCCTTGCCATGAAATACGCACTGGCTAAATTTCGCGTCTATCTCTTGGGAGATAGACCGTTTGTTGTCTACACGGACCATGCGTCATTACGCACGGCCGTAAACAGCCCACACCTCTCGCAAAGAATGGCGAGGTGGCTGTCTTTCTTCGCGGAGTATAACTTCTCCGTGGAGTATAAACCGGGACGACTCAATGTCGTCGCGGATGCTCTTTCGCGCCGGCCCGATTTCGAGCCGGACGCGCAATCCAACAGTGAGGACAAGCCCACTGTTGCGACACTGTCAGTCAGTGTCCCGTCGTCAAGTTTACTTGACGACGTACGAAAGGCATACGCGGAAGATAAGGATCTTCTGCGATTGATGGATCATCTGGTGAATCCATCCAGTAAATCCATGAGGGATTTACCGGCTTTGTACCGATCCTCATCGGATCGGTATAGTACACGCAACGGATTGCTGTACTATACAGCAGTTGCCGACGACACGCCTCGTGTCGTCGTACCCGCTCATCATGATTTGCGATTGCGCATCATGTATGAGTGTCACGATGCCCCAACAAGCGGCCATCGTGGTAGAGAAAAGACTTACCTCACGGTAAGTCGCGACTTTTACTGGCCCCGCCAGTATCAGTTTGTTCGCAAGTACATCCGTGCTTGCGAAGTATGTCAACGGGTGAAGCCTAGTCCTTCATCCCGTGCGCCATTGCAGCCTCTGCCTGTTCCGACAGAGTGCTGGGAGTCCGTTTCAATGGACTTCGTCTTCGGGTTTCCCGAAGACGCTCACAAGAATAATGGTATTCTTGTGTTTGTGGACCGATTCAGCAAGATGGTCCATCTTGCTGCTGTCCCTGAGTCAATCAAGGCTCAAGGTTGTGCTCGTGTCTTTCTAGACACGGTCTTTAGACTCCACGGGTTACCCCGTGAACTCGTATCCGACCGTGACCCTCGGTTCACGGCGGAATTTTGGCAAACCGTGTTCCGTACTCTCGGAACACGATTGAAGATGTCCACTTCTGACCATCCAGAAACAGATGGTCAGACGGAACGTGCGAACCGTGTCCTCGAAGAGATTCTTCGAGGATATGTCCACTCGTTTCCGAGTTGGAGCGAATTCCTACCCATGGTGGAATTCGCCATCAATAATTCGGTGCATGCTTCAACACAGCACACACCGTTTTACGTGAATGGCCTACGCCATCCACGTGTGCCCACCCTTCTAGAGTGTGACTCTTGGATAAGGGGGGAGGGACTCGCTCGAGCAAAAACCATTTTGGCTCTTGCTCATCACGTGTCGACGCAAACGTCGTCACGTATGATGCCGATGTCGATCAAGTCGACATCGATGAAGAAGATCATCTCAATAATAGCGAAGACGCTATTATTGATTCGGATGATGATGACGATGCTGGTATATTCAGCATCGCCAACGATTATGCCAGCGAGGAAGAAGACAACCTCGCTGAAGAAGAGAGCAATCTCTTAGCAGTGCGCACGCAGCGCACTGCTAAACAAAACAAAGGGTCAGCAGAGAACTTCCTGCTGACTCGAGAAGCGGTAGTCCGTTTCGTTCAGGACTCCATCGCAAATGCGGTGGACCGTCAGAAACGGAACGCAGACAAGAATGGAAGAGCAAATGTTCTTTCATTTAAGGTTAATGACCTAGTACTACTGTCTACGGTAAACCTACCTGGACATGCAGTCACTAGTGTCGGCAGTAGTAAACTACTGCCGAAATACATTGGGCCATTTCGAGTGTTGCATCGCAAGGGCAATGCATACACACTCGAATTGCCACGTAGGATGCGCACGCATCCTACGTTTTACGTGGGGAGGCTTAGGTCGTACTGTCAGTACGGGCCTTCTTCTTCCGATGAAGATAGCCCCCACGTTCAAGAACATCCATCAAGTTCTTGCGTTCGCGCTCCAGACGATCCGTCTGGTCGCGCAGATATGATACCTCGGTATTCAACCGAGTTATCTCTCCGCGAGCTGTCGCCAGCTCGCCGAAAAGGGAGCGGACATCCCGCTCGACCTGAAGCTGCGCCGTGGCATAATCGGCGCGATCTCTCGCCCGATCAGCCTCGTGATCCTTGCGGTTCTTCCGCACGGTATCAGTCAAAGCGTAGCGTCGGTCGCGCTCGTGCGTCAAATCATCGCGCAATTCAACGATTGCGCGATCCATCTCGTAAGGGTCGAGATGGTGGGCCTGGGGTTCTGGAGGAGGTCTTTCCTCCTCCACCACATCCTTTGGTGGATGCTCACGGTGATCAACGCTTTCTAGTGGAGCGTATCTTGAATCACCGTGACGATTCAGGATCAAGGACGAGCTACCTCGTCCAGTGGCGGGGGTATCCACCCTCTTGGAACAGCTGGGAGCCCCGCTCTCAGCTGTTAATGGATGTTGAAGGTCTCGTCCACCAGTATGACGAGACCCATCCGATGAGTCCTGTGGCCCATCGGTAAACACGCGCCCTAGGCGCTTGTAGACGGATTGCAAGTTTGCAATCGCGTCACGCATCTCCTCCGAGAGATGTGCCCTTCCCCAGGGCGAATTTAGGGAGTACACATCCCTATGTGCACGCTGCGAGTTGTCAACACAACTCGCACAAGGGTCTCCCCATGTGAGGCAAGGAATGCCTGCCTCACTCGATAAACAATGCAACCGGTACCTAGCACCGGTTGGCGTTCGCCGTTCGAACCTGAGGCGTGTTGCCTCAAGTTTCTTGAGCCACCCCTCTCGTCCAAAATTCTTGACGTTTTGGACGAACGCGTTCCACGCAGCCAAAAGCGATGTTTTGTCACGCTTTTGGTTGCTATTGTACCATCGATGTCTAAGGAAGACATCGAGATAAAAGTCTTCTTCAGCGCGAAAGTTCTTCGCGCTGGGACTCAAGCCGTGAAGCTCGGTTGCATCGAATAAGGGTATTCGATGGTGTTGGCCTGTCTCGTGAGACAGGCTATTGATGAGCCGTTCGGGCAAACGCCACGGCTTCAGCTCATCACGCTTCACAGTGGTACCTTTGTTGGTACCACGGCTGTCAGTATGACGATGGGTTGCACCATCGTCAAGTCGCTCGTGCGAAGGAGCACGAGCTGATTGCGGTGATGAGCAAACATACTCATCATCAGATTCGTCATCACTGCCGAACAGACTGTGTTGCAACTCACGAGTCCGTTCGTTCGGCAGTGGCCTTGGCGAATACTGAGGCGTCGCCGGTGAGCGAGACGCCTCTGGAGCATTGCCCGAGTCAGACACGTCTGACTCGCCAGAGTAGATGACCTCCACATCGGGGTCATCATACGCACGCGGCGTGATACCGCGTGCACCTGCAGCACCTGTTGCTGCAGGCGAAGAAGGGGCGGCAGACGACGAAGCGTCTGCCGCAGAGGCTTGCACAGCACCAGGCTGTGTGGGTCTTGAGTCACCTCGCATAGACATGTTAGCTATGCGAGGTCAAGCGGAAAGTGAGTGGAACGGACCAAACAAGTACTCCCTGTCCCAATGGTGGCCAACGGGTGGCCTCCATATTTCGATAGTCATACGGTGACTATCAGTTAAGGGGGGGGTGATGTAACGGGGCAGCCCGTTACATAATATTGTCACTTAAGGAAAGTGACAATAAAGAATATAAAGATGGATATTCTTTAAACAATATCACCGAAGCGGTGATATTGAAGGGTCGACCAGAAGGGTCTGTTCATTGGTTGATATCGTGATGATATCAACCCACCAATCGCCGCAAGACGCGCGCAATGAGTGGTGACGAGACGTCACCATACATGCAGTTATATTAGTATAATTGAATTAAGTCAAACGAAGAGACAGTAGTTTAAAGACTTAATTTATTAATATAACAGTTCTACTTTTACCCTACCTACGCTTCCTCGCTCGCCACGTGTACGTCCGTCGGGGCACCCAAATCCCTTGCGTTAAGTTACGCAAGGGTGTGCCCCGTTACAGCAACTCAACGCTGGGACGAAGCGGCAGCACCTGAGAGCCGTTCAAAATATGCGCGGACGACGTTTGCTTTATATGCCAAAGCAACATCACCAGGCAATCTCAAGAGCTGTCAGCTATGGTGGAAAGCTCTGTACAACCACCAAACCCACTCGAAGAACTGGCGTTGCGGCTCAGGCTTGACGCACCTCAGACGTCCTGCAACCCATGAAGTTACATAGACTTGTCTTCCTCGCATGACACTTGTGATGCCGTCATCGACGATTTCGTCTACCGAGTTGTATTATGGCAGAAGACAGCATCGCACGACACTGTCCTTTCAGAGATGCTGCATACGAGATGGTCGGTAAAAGTCATGCTTTGTACCTCGCAAGCACGACGAATGTGTAACCCATCTCGTTTTCATATGGTACGCTGCTTGTGACTGTTACGTACGTGTGTTTGTGCATGAAAGGCATGTGATCAACGCACGCACATCCACGACAGCGAGTCGTAGCGCTGCATCAGGCGATGCAAGACACATGGCGTCCGCCACATACGTAATGCCTTCCCAACTAAATATCATCACACAAGAAGCAGAAAAGTGAGTAGGAGGCGACAATGCGCGTGTGCTACTCAGAGTGCGATGATGCATCGATCGGTAGGCAACGGCAGATACAAGGATTTCGCCGCCAGTGGATGGACTCCAGAGGCCCGACGCTAAGGCACTTAACACGCTGCAGAGGTTGTATAATTTTTCAGTCGTATCTTCGATTGCTACTTTGTCGTTAAAGCAATATCTTACGCGGTGCATGGTCGTGAGACCTCAACGAAGCGTGGCAGCTGGAACGCGCCAGCAACGACAGTCGATAATGCAGCAGAAGCGGTATCAATACTCGGCATCGCCACGTGACCGATTGCAGCGGGTACAGGACTTGACGCCGTGGAGCATGCGCGTTAGAGGGGAATGCCATCCCTGAAGAACTTGGCGTAGACGGCTGCGATATCTCTCGACCACTCATAACGGAAGCTACTCCGTTTGACATTTGTAAACTTGAGCTCGATCAAATTGGCCGGATCGATCCTCTCGACATCCTTCCACTTCCGCAGCAACGCGTTTATATACCATTGTGCCCGCGGATCCTTGCTTTCTACGAACATGTTCATAGCATACTCTGCAACTCTATTCTCACCCCCCAAGCGTTGCACCAAAGCATCCAGCAAGTCTTCCTTCATGAATTCCCTCGCGTAGCGCTCATATGCCTTGAATTTAGGCACACCAAACATAGTTAAGATCCTGTCATCAAGTTTCAGCTTTGTGAACACGTCGGCGGAATTCAGACCTTCCTTCTTCCAGCCTTCCATCATTTGCTCGCGCAGTTGTGTAGCATCATCAGGGCGTATTCCTGTATCGATCGCGATCTCGAGAGCAGTTGCAAGCTGATGACGAGCTCCATGATTCTCTGTCAGCGTCTCGATTAGCGTATGGTCGGTCCCTTCCTGCTCGTTGAAGAATTTGATATAACGACGCAGTACATTGATCCTTAGAAAATCGACGTCGTGCACAAGATAAGTAGTGTAGAACAACTGCAGGAACCGAGTGAACTCGTCGATCGGGACCTTATCCTTCACATACATCATCAATATGCTATCGAGCAAGTTGGATGCAACGGGGCGAGCGCCAATGTTGGTATGCTCCGCCAATTCCATTAATTTGTCCAGCATACGGCGGATCTTACCCTCCGACTTATACCATGTTGTATAACGCCTTTGGATACGCAAAAGAAAACCCCGAATGCCTCGGGTTGACGCCTTTCCGACCAAGTTGTATCCGCGCTTTAGGAAATCCTCACCAGAGCTTAATATCGGTGGTAAGTCGTCGTAAGAAATCGTGTTCAAATGCCCCCAAAGTATATCCTGTCCAACTTTTGCCGAGGGCAAACGCTCTTCGCTGTTGTTCCCGCCAAGATCGATGAAGCTGTTGTGCACGAAGACGACGTCGTTGTGGTCACTTGCCGGTCCTCGGCCATCCACAGACGTGGTGGGGAGACCGCACACGTCGCGCAGAATCTTGAGATGGACTACGATTGCCGTTACCGCCACGACCGCAATGAAGTCGAAGCGCATGGATGAGGACCGTTCAGTCGGTGCTCGAAGGAGGGTGCAAAATTCGGAATGGCACAGACTGGAGTTCAACCAAGTCACAGCGTAGAGCTACGATAAAAGTGTGGCCCGCGTATCCACCGCCTCTTGAACCGCGGTCCGAGGGCTCTTTTTAATGCTACTCCCGGTATTGCAGGAAGCCAACACTCAAAACCGTGTCGCATGCTCCTCAAATCTCTGGTCGCTGACTGCATCAGAAGGCAAGCCGCGACTCTTGTTGTCACAGTGGTGGCTTGCTTTTCTGTACGAGTGAGAAGCAGAGTGGGTGCGATCGAGGGTTACATACTATTTTACTCTACAACGTGGCTATCGCTTGCATGAGCTGGGCTAGACGAGCTGTACGCTACACCCAGAGTTCTAGTACGCAAGCTTCTCCATTTCCACCGCTGGAAAATGTCACTGACGGACTATGTGTGTTTGAGAGTCAAACTCATGTTCTATCCTAGCACGACCTCGAACGCAATGGTTGCAGAACGCAAAAGACACTGGTCCACCAAAACCGAACCCTTCCCGCAAGGGCTTCGTGTCCACTGAGAGGTCAGAAAGTGCCCACAATTCCTGTGTCTGCTGAGATCCGTCTGTGCTGGCAACGAAGAGAAAAGCCTTTTTTCTGATCCGACAGAGTCGACAGCTCGAAAGACCCATCTCTTTCTCAGCGCGCTCGGTGCGTAAACCCGGCATCGATGGAGAATACATGATCCAGCGATGTCATGGGCAGACACAGCCGTGTTGCAGTTAGGAGGAACGACGCAAGAAGCCGCTGGAGAAAGTCAGCCGGTTGCGCTGTCTGCATAAACAAGCGACGCCCAGTCCAGCACCAGATGTTACGACTGGCTTTTGTGTACGGACGAATATATAGAGATACTGTCCGGACATTTGCGTATGTCTCCTTCTGCCCTATTTCCTCCTCGTCCTCGTCCTCCCTCGTTCATTCTGCTGGCTCAAAACATCGAGTGCATTGCAACACTCCGCGACAGACAGGTGTGTCAATGACCGAGCCATAATGCATGCATGGGACAGAAGAAGCCCCTAAGGGACGACCGAACAGCAAATTGTTCGTGCTCAGTGAATGGACCGGCATGCCAGCTAGATTAAGCAATCCGAACGAGGTAGAAGCCGAGCTCTTTCCGGGCTCGCCATGCTTTCTCGCAAAGGCCACATTACGCTGAGAAACAACATGAAGCGAGCCAAACGGTCGTTTAGCAGCAGCTACATGTTAGGTGCTAGCCAAAAGCGAAAGCCCCGCAAGCTAGCGCTTGCATCGAATCAACCGTTCCCGAAGAAGTAGCACAATTCCGTAAAAATAGCTCGTGCTCTGCGGAGCATGTTGCAATGTCCAGAGTACGATACTGCAGATGGATCAACAAAGAGTGGCGCCGTGAGTACGGCCCATAAACTCATTGTTCTACTTAATCTGATGTACAGCACGCTTAACATTTGCCTTCCTTATCTCAAGGATTGTCGGGTTCTAGAGTATGCTATCGACACAAGATGATTGCACAAGTGGCAACGCCGAGTCCAGGGCTTATTACCCATCTGAAAGGGTACCACTTGAAGAGCTAAACACTATCGTATCAGTGTGACGTTCACGCATCTTCCAAGAGCCGCTACTTCGGTGCTCAATCTTCCATACGGATTGGAAGAGCAAGTCCTGTCGCAACAGGTCCGAGGTAAGCTGTCAAAGCGTATTGGTACCAAACTACTGTAGTCTTGCGATACAAGCGGCCTCCCACCTCTTGTCGTCGCTTCGGTGACACTGACCATCGATGCAGTCTACCTACAGCACTGTACTGCAGCCAGTGTTTGCCACAAGGTCCGCCAAACTTGCTGGACTTTATTGTCAAGATGCTTGCGGGACCGTCCAGCCAGGGCCACCAACTCGCAGCGATTGGACAATCAGGACAACATCGCACGACCGACTGGCCGCACATCTGCTGTCCAGGCCAGAAAAAGCGATGGCGAAAAACGACCCTCTGTTTGTTGTCCTCTGCGCAGCGACGCCCCCACAGATGGCTACACTGTGCCAAGCACGAGAGCGTGCAATTTGTGAGGTGCGCCATACCAACTGTACCCCCGACTGACCGCAAGTCGCCCAGACACCTTCGATGTAACGGGGCAGCCCGTTACATGGAAATTGTCATTTGAGAGATAATGACAATAAAGAATATAAAGATGGATATCCTTTTAAAAATATCACCAATAGTGGTGACATTGATGGGTCGACCAAAGAGTCTACTCATTGGTTGATATCTTGACGATATCAACCCACCAATCGCCGTAAGACGCGCGCAATGAGTGGTGAGTAGACGTCGTCATACATGCAGTTATATTAGTATAATTGAATTAAGTCAAACGAAGAGACAGTAGTTTGAAGACTTAATTTATTAATATAACAGCTCTACTTTTCCCAAAAACAGTGTTGCCTCTGTCTTACCTACCGCTTCCTCGGTCGCCTCGTGTATGCTTGTCGGTGCACGATACCCTTGCCATAACTCACGTAAGCGTTTGCCCCGTTACACCTGGTAGCACTGTGGTGAAGTCGATCTCACAAAATTAATTTAGTGAGTGTCGATCTTCCACTTTCCCAGACTTGCCGACTCACGGAGGGGGTACTCCGATCCGTGCCTTACCGTATAACCTTGTGCTCACCTTGTGTACCCGTCGGTTGGGCTGGCTTGAGCTCTTCGTAATGTCCTTGGGAGATGTCGATCTCGCTGAGGGTGTGGGGATGAGCGTTCGCTTCCGGTGCGGAAATCTTCACACCACGAACAGGGGTTCTGCGATCCTGATCTTGAGTCGCGGCGATCTCTATTTGGAGATGTCGCGATCTCGATCTTGAATCACACCGATCTCGATTCGTCTTCGGGATCGGGGCCTTCGCTGTGCGGAAATCTTCACTCATCAAATAATAGTCTTGCGTCGATCTTGCGTTGGAATCGGTCCGATCTAGTCTCGGGATCGGCCGATCTTGCCGGAAGTGCGCAATATAGACAGATCGGTTCTTGGTTTCGCCAAAATGAAACACGCCGATATTTCCGGTAGATCGCTTCGATCTTGCTCGGTATTGTCTTGAACGCCCTGTCCAGATCTTCTGACCGCTTGAGCCGTCTCACAATCTTGTGTCCAAAATCCTTTTCCTTTTCCTTTGTTGTGTGGCTGCTACCCTAGCAGTTGAGTTGAGTGTGAGTACTTGATCGATCCGGGCCAGATATCCCGAGATCGCTCTTCTCGATCTTTGCCAACAACTCAAGATCGGTATTCTGTGTCCCTGTAACACGCGTGCCTTGACCCTCCGGGGAAGCCAAATCAATCCTGCCCGAGGAAGATGGGAGGAGAACGTGCGTCGTGAGCAGAAGAAGTAGACTTCAAGTCTGTTTGTTATCCAACCAAATTAATAGCCAACCTATCATTAAGCCTATTCCCAACCATTGGTTACTCTCCAAGTCGATATCACCTTTAAGCTTGACCGTCCCCTTGAACACGCGTCGAAATTTCGTGACCTGTACTCCAAAGATAGCGCCAATACTCCCGATATCGTACCTAGACACCAAACGAGACCAAATTCCAAATACGGTACCAAATGCCCACTTTTGGTACCGAAAAGTCCAAAATTGTATCCAAATGCGGAATGTGTCCAAATCCGCTTTGCGACGTCAATTCGACCGGCTTCCACCGGCTCTTTCGATATGAACTTTTGAGACATCACTCACGGACCTTCCCCAAGCATGTCTGACATGATCCAAAAGTCTCATCAGCGATATATCCATAATCAGTGGGGAACATGACCGATCTGATGCCCAATTCGAGATAGTTGAGGATCGACATAGTGCAATACGGCCATATATGTTATTCCGTTCATTGTGCATACTCCGATGCCATCCTCACGGGTTTATCCGCACAATGGGATCATCCACAGTTCTCACAACGGTCCCACGGACCCCCACAAACATCCCCACTTCCAGATCGGGCCATAATTAACCTAAATCAGTACTCCCTTTGGGAGACCCGTAGAGAGCATCACCGGTCTGCAGGATGTTACACCTTCGCCACAGAGTCACATCACGTCACCTGATCTCAGATCCTTGTACCAGATCGCTCCATGGTAATCGTTCTATTTGTCGTCTTGTCCCATATCACCCCGTCTCAGATCGTTCCATACCCATCATTCTGACGACAGTTGAATCGGATCGCCGATCCCGTTTAGATCGCCTTCCGTCTCCTTATTGGATCGCCAGGTCCCATGGCCTCATTTTCCACCAGTAAGTGGCGTCCCAAATGTGTAGCCACCGATCCTCGTACAAATTTTGATTAGTGACTTCACCACAACCACCCCCTGTACTGAAGTCTATTGTACAGCAATTGACCTCAGTGCAGTCACTCATCAACTTCGCTATAACCACCCAAGTCCGTCTCATGGCCTTTTCAACGCATCTCCCCACCTCGCCGATCTCGTCAGAAGGCTCCACCGTGTTTCTGTCTCCGGATCGCGACCCGTCGTCTGGATCGCCGGATCGCGGGAGGTATGCTACAATCGTCCCAGATCAACATGCGTCTCCAATCCATCTAGTTCCAGCCGGATCGCCACCGATCGCCCCGGGATCGCCAGATCGACAGCCGACCAGACCTTCGTCCCCAGTCCGCAACTTGCCGTCTGGGTCGCCGGACCGCGGGATGTATGCTCCAATTGTTCCAGATCGACACGAGTCTCCAAGTGATTCCAGTTCGGTCGGGTCGCCCTCGATCGTCACGGGATCGCCAGATCGTCCCTCTGAGCCGTCCTCACTTCCTGCACCTCCGGCGACCCTGAATGCGTTTAGCTCCGACGTTCTGGCCCCTAGTGAGTCTCGTACAGGATCTTCTCCAATTGCGGGCGTCACCGGCTTCGTTCCGCGAGTTTCTGCCGACGACGTTCGTCTTACGTTGGCTACGATCTCTTATTTGTGGGATCGAGAGGCTACCTTCTG